CTAGAAAGAACAGGTAGTGCTGAGCACAAGACAAGTATAAAGTACAGGCCTTCTGAAGGGAAGAAAATGCAGTATTTCTATTGCATTAGGTATTTAATGAAAAAAAAAAAAAGGAAATAATTATACAGTAAACACACATTTAAAAACAGGTGTTCTAACAATTATATATAGTACTTTTTTCCCACCAATTTTCCTTAATAATCTTAAGGAGCTACAGCTAGCATTATTGTTACTGAAAAGATCTGTTGTCCCTACTAAGGTAATATTTACACTTTAGCTGACAACATTACATAAAATGAGAGCAGATGTAACTCCTAAAGCTTATTTGTGGGCAGTTCCTTTAAACTGAGATGATTTATTTGGATCTATGACCAAAGGAATACACTAGCTCTCCTAATCCACATTCTGATAGGAGGCCATTTGGTACTACCTACTCTGCAGATATAAATGACTCATTAATGCTCTGTGAAGGGAAAAAAAAAGTTGTGACTGCAGCTAAGTCAAAGACACATCAAGGATGTGATGCATCTTAACTTACACCAATTCAATTTGTAATTGAATATTTAGAATACTACTCTGGCAGACTAAACCAAGTGTTCCTTTAACCAAAATTCTCATCCAAAAGCAGTCTCTGAGAAACCTAAACAACAAAGGGTGTTGTTTCTAAAGACCTCAATATATTGGATGGACCCTCACATGCTGTGCCATGAACAAGAGGCAGGATGGACTCACCTGTTAGGACAGAAGCTTTCTGATAAACTGAAACAATCACTTTAGAAACTAACAAAAAAAAAAAAGTCTGAAGCAGAGAAAGACACCTCACTCAGTAAAACAGTACCTTTATGGAAAGCAGCAAGGGGAGCTTGAAGGCATCTTGTGACTTTATATTTTCACTCCAGTTACCTTGCTTTTGCAAAAACAAAGTCAGTACATGGCTAATTAAGTCTGCAGTAAGCATGGTGTTGGACTAAGTGATCTCCTGAAGAAGTCCAATGCAAACTAATTCTTTTTTTTTTATAAGATTCCTTTATTCATATGATGGCAACACCGCTCATTTCCAAGGTAAAGAAGCTGGAAAGCCATTATCAAGAAGACAAGACAAAAAGCCTACCACTCTGCTTTTGAAAATGAAAATGGCAAATCCTCCTGCTCCAGCAACTTCATCACTCCCTTTCTAAAGAGAGATCTACCTATGGACAAGACCTGAGGGTGCAAGGCTTTCTGGTGTGGTGGATTATTTTGTTTGGGGGATGGAGTTTTTGTTTGTATTTTAAATCAATGTATTTAAACCTAGAGATCAGAAAAGGTAAAGACTTGGCAAAGAGATGGAAACTAGCATTTGATCTCACAAAAAAAGAAAAAGCATTGCGTCAGGGGGGCAACTGCACGTGGTTTTAGGATGAAATTGTCAGACTTAGTTTTGATTTTATGTGATTTGGCTGAGGCGTCTGTGGGCTCAATAAAGGAGTCATATTTCTTGTGGATATCCTCACTAAACATACAAGTCTAAACCTTTGGCTTTAACCTAATGATAATGCCCCTGTTACAGCATTCAATTAAAACTAGAAGTTGTGTCAGCAAATGAGAGCAGATATTAATCTTGATGAGGGTCTCTCTCCAGGTGGAACAAATGCAGAAAGGTGCTCTTAAATTCTGACTGTGTAACAAACAAGCACCTTGGCCTATGCTGGGATTTGTAAAATACTTTAGTTCTACTGTACAATGATTTCCTAATGAAATTCTAGAAGAGGCCTACAACAAACGATGTAAAGCCGAGGTTTTATTTTGACATGGTGAATCAATCTGCTTTCTAGCAAGCCATGTCAAAAATAACCCAGGAAAGAAAATTACAATAGCTACCTTTACAAGTCAAAGATACTAAGCTGAAGTACTTATTTAAATATAGAACATATATATTTGAATCAAAGTTGCCAGCTAATGAAGATTTTTTTCTTATTATGGCCAGTCTCATGAATAAATTGGTCACCTCAGAAGAATGAAACTACATCTCAGGAGATGTTATACTGCTTAGCTCTGCACTTGCAAATGTGTTTCCTAACTCTGAAATATATCTAATGCAATTCTACATATCATGGCACCTGACAGGCTGGATCTGTAAAGGTGGTCATGGTATTCTTATTTCCAGATGAATTATCTGTGATACCACGAACATATCATATAAAATATAGCTTATCAACAAAAAGGGACAGTTCACAGGAAACTAAAAACACCCCACATTAACAGATGGTAAAGCATTTTAAAAATACCACTACTATGGCTCAAACAAGCTTTTCATTTACAATGTATGAAAAAAATAGCCTTTTACAATAAAGTAACACACAAAAAAGTTGATATATTTAATAGTATATAGTTGTCTAGCCATGAAAACATGGCTCTTCAAAGCCCTTTATGCCTAGCAGATTCCATGATGCAAATGAGGACAGCATTCTCAGGTATGTGTAGCATTACAGCCATTTGAGTTTTTAATTTTTTTTCACATTATGAGATGGACAAATCAATATACCAAACTAATTTCAAATGTGGCAACACCTGGGAACTTCTTCCAAATTTATTAATTGCTTTTCTTCATTTTTCTGAGCCATACTTTCATACCTGAATTTAGATGCTGCCTTCCTTAATCCCAAAAAGCCCCAGTGCTTTTGCTCTTGATTCAAACAGTAAAAAATTGCAAGCGATAGAAGAAATTTGTTTTACTTCTACTATTCACAGATTTATAGTAGAATTATAAGTGTTCAAGAAAATAATATTTCATTTGCAAACTGTACAGTGGCTAGGAAAGTCAAAACCAGCAGATGTCTACAATGGAATAATTTGCACTGGAAAAGGCTTCCAGAAAGATCAAAGAACAGAAAGCCAGAACTTAACTAATTTACAGCTGTTGACAGTAAGAATTTACCTTCTTACTAGTTCATCAGCATATAAAGTGTATTGGTATCCCTTCATCCATCTTAACCCCTTTTCTTGTTATTCTTTCCAAATAGTGAGTTTGGGTTAGGTTTAGATTTAGCAATTAGGTTTTCTTTTTTAAAATACCTTTTATTACGATCATACGATCAAATGAAATCAACTTAGGAAGCTTTATGGATGGCTTCTAATAAAACTTGCTAAACATTAGATTATTATAGAAGGCAAACAGATCCAGAAGATGTCAACAGTGACAGGATTGATATACAGAAAACATGTGACACTGGAGAAGAAATGACATATTCCAAAGGCAGCTAAATTACTCTATATTTGAAGATGACCTTGGAATTCCCACTAACCCATTTTTCCATTAAGAAGCAAAAATAATTTTATCAGTGGCATTAGCCAAGCTTGTGAAATATACCTTCCGGTCCTACATACCAGAGCTCAGCTACAGCATTTGGCAAGCAAAAGATATGTCTTATCAACAAAGGATCCTTCCTATACAAAAAAGAGGACTTGACAGGCTCTTCTATTTCAATAAACAAATATACCAAGCATAAGAAATCAGATGGACCTGGAATGCTGCATATTCCCAAGCACTCAGAACTACTGATCTGCATAATGGAAGTTCATAAATGACCAGCATTTTAATATGCTTCCTATTCTTACTTCCCACTTACGGCAACACATGCTAATCACTGCAACACATTGCAAGACTAAAACAAAAAAAGTAAAACAATATCAGATGTATCTCAATAAACCCAAATAATTTAGATTCACGTATATCAGAAGACACAATATAGCTTTTGCTTCAATTTTAGTGTTTTGCTAGCTTGTGAAGTAAATGCCTCCTGTGAAATGTAATTTCCAAATGATTTAATGACAACTAGAAAAGCAGACAGCAATGAAAAATAACATTTTCAAATGAACCGATTAAAAAGTATCTCAAACCTCAAGCATACTGCATGAGTGAGCAGTTCCTTATTCACAGTTGCATTATAAAGCAAAATGGAAGGATGCAAGTTGCAATCATCAGGTATCCTATACAAAAGTAATCTCCTTATTTCACCATCTTTCTTCATTAATGCAAGTTTCCTGCATTGTTCTTTTGTTCAGACACAACACCTTCTTTAGCAGCGCGCTAACGCAGCCTTTACAATCTCTCCTTGGAGCTTTCAATGACTAAATGACGGTGAATTTCCCGGCTCCGTACCCCACTGCCCAGGCCGCTCCACCTGCCCTGCCACAACAGCCGGCGGGCTCTGACACGCTCCCGCAGGCTGGGCGAGGACGCTGCGCTGGCTGCCCGCCAAGGCCCCGCGTCCCCTCGCGCAGCACGCGGCCACTGCGGGGCAGGCGGCAGCAACCAAGGGCAGCGGCCCCGCAGCGGGGAGGGACGCGCCAGACCAGGCGGGAGCAGCCCCGGGCAGCGGCGGGAGCGGCCCCGGGCAGCGGCGCTCCCCGCGCAGTCCCCGGCAGCGGAGCGCGGAGCGCCCAAGGCCGCGGCGCGGCTGCCG